CAGACGCTGGGAGTTCCTGGTAGGCGGTAAATAAAAAGGAGTTTTAATTCCTTTTGCCTTGAACCCCGGTGGAACAGCAATAACCCCCCCGCTGGGTAAGTGCCGAGAGCGCTGCCCCCAGATCGTGCTGGCAGCTGCGTAGGTCGGCGCTGGAAGCGTTCGCAATGCCGCCAGCCGGGTTTCCTCACAGAAAATTTGTTGTGCGCTTCAATCGCCACAGTTTCGTGCGCCTTTTTACTGTTTTAGAGCCAACTAAATACCGAAAACGAACAAGGGATTCTGTTGTGATGAGCATCATTAACAGGATTGTTTATTAAATTCTTAATCAGTAACATCCCGCTTGCGTGTTCACCAAAGACAAACAGTGATTTGGCTGCTGGAACATTTATAGCTGCTGGAGATACGCGGTAACGGAGAGTTGTCTCTGACTTTTCGGCCTGAATTTACAGTGAACACAAAATGCCACAATGCTGTGCTTAAAATGATTTCCAAAAAGGAGGCACATACAATGAATTGTTGAAGTCTTTCACTCTCTTCAAAACTAAAAGAGTTGATACAGCGTCATCTTGAGCTTTAAGACAGAAGGCAAAGCAATTCCTCGATACATTTTTGAACGGAACGTTTTCTGGCCAGAAAGAACGTCTTTCATTGTCTTTTTATGTCTGTACCGTTGTGTTTGGCACTCTTACCGCAGCAGCCACAGAATGGCAGCGACGGTATTCGGCGAAAGAGCCGTAATCTCTCTTACGGTTTGAAAGGGGAAAAAGGGACAGTGATAATCTAGATACAGGGATAAAGAAACCTAACAAGAAACTGAAGCAAACTCCTCTGTGGCTCTGCATTTTTGCTAAGAGCAGTCAACAAAATAAATCAGAACCAAGAAAAAACCTTTCACTTGCAAACAAGCATTCACAGCCACCCGCCAAACTGCAGTTTGTTTGGTAAATAGACTCTGGAAAGGTAATCGGATGAAAGCGAAGTTAAAACTTGGATTTCAGCTTTCAGTTTAGATGCTGCCATAATTTCCAGCTAAAAACAAACAAACAAACAAACAAATTAACGTGTGAGGCTGTAGCAGCCTGACCCAGGTAATCATGTAAGCAAGAACTGCGCTTGGTGGATGGGCAGGTAGAACTGTAAGGTCAGTGTGGCTGGAAATGGTGCTGCAAAATCCCTGACGCTGAGCTGAGATTCGTGGTGTTGTATGTCCGTGTGTTCTCTAGTGTGTACCTCACAGGAACACCAGCGATTGGTGAGTGTGAACAGGAAGGAAAAGGCTCCCAGTACCTTTTCCCCCTCTCTAACCATTCCACACAATCATGCTGGAACTGAGATACACGCTCCAGAAGCCACAGGCAAGACTAGAGGTCTAGTGCTGAGTAAGTGACGGCTGTAAGCGGTCCCCTACTTGTAGAGACGCAATGTGTTCCGTAATATTTAGGAAAGCAGTGAAATCCCATGTGATCATCAGATGACTAATGGCAGGGAAGCTGAAAATGGTGCCGGTTGTGGCCTGTGCGCCACTGGGGCCCACTGATTCAGAGGGACAGCCCCAGGCACGGGCTTTCTCAATCTTGCCGCCTTTTAGGGCTGCAAAACCTCAGTGGTTCTGCTACACTGCGAGGTTGTCACCATAAAGGGGACCAGGACTGCGGGTAATAGGATCTGTCTCCTGGGGAGTAAGAAACAGGAAAGGGTAGGTTTATACGTACTTCTTTTTTCCACGCTGGCTGACAAGCAATGTAAGGTCTCTTCTGAATGCTCGCTAGCTTGGTTTGGTCTTGCTTCGTAAGTGGAATCAGGACATCTTTGCATATATTTAATCTGAAAAGAAAATAAAGTTGTTAAATTTTCTCATATACTTATTTATTCCAACTTGTTTGTCTATATTAAGCCAAAATAATGTATGAAATGAATAATGAATTTAAATGTCAGTTGTCTTTTGTGCATAAAGTCAGATTGCCTTTGCTGACTATGAAACAGAAGAAGACTTTGTTTCTTTGGGGAAGGTAACTAACCTTTCAAGGTCAGATGGAAGGAGACCAAGCCACTTTATGGATGGGACGGTGAGATGATGGGCCTCAAAAGACATTGACTAAAATAAGAAAGGTCAGCTATAACATTCAGCGACTTTTAGTTTAAATCATTTGAGACATATGCCTTCCATGGTCATGGTCAGATTTTATTACAAAGGTAATTAGGTGTTTTCACTATCAGAACGCTGTAGGAGAACGTAGCGCGCTGAAGCTCACCATATCCCCTTGCCAGAAACCGTTCCTTCGCTAAGATTTGCACCCTTCAGGCCATGGCAGATTCTAGACTAGTCCAATTTAGGCTCGTCTAGTCTGAATGGGTTTGGTTTGGGTTTTTTACAGTCAATATGAATCTGATTGTCAAAAAAAAAAAAAAAAAAAAAAATCCAGGGGGAGCAATGACAATCAAATCTGGAAATTTCTGATATTTTCTGCTGGAAAGTACCACGTCATATAAAAATAGCTCAAGCACCTGGTCCAGTATCATAGCTACAGTATATATCTTAGGGAAAAGTGTAAAAACAAATAAGCAATTAATGCTACTCCTCAGAACACTCCCCCTGCTGCCAATGGTTTGTGACTTTCTGAGGCAGAAGTGGTGGTGGTGTAATACTTGATTTTGTCAGGATGCTTTTAGCATCCATGAAAACATTTGTCATCTACAGCAAAGCCTCACGGTTCAGTTACATGTTGTACAAAGGAAAACTTCCATTGTTTGTGGGGAGCTTGACATACTCTGGTTTGTTTGATACCCCTGTTGCTCTGTAACGGAACAACATAAGCTTTCAAAGGAACCTGACCACTTAATTTAATCCTGAAAGATGGCGTTTTATCAGTTTACACACCATTGTAGGAGAGCTGAAGGCATGACAGCTCACCTGAAAACTGGAGAGATCTGTCTCCCTGGATGTCCTTGAGGCATATGTTATGACATGTATTTGGACTCTGACATCATCAATGTCTGACAGTTTTCTGGAGTTCATTTTGGTTTTGGTTTTGTTTCTTACTTTGGGTGTTCTTTCTCCATTGCTCTACTGAACAGTTCACCCGTTCGCTCCCGCCCTCTGCCTTCACCTCAGTCCATCTGCCTTCCATATTGTCTTCCTGCACCTCGTCTTTTAGCAGCGCAATATAATGATGCCTTCTTGTCCCCTTGCCTCGTCTTCCATAATGTTCCACACTGACATCTGCATCCATAAGCAAATTCCCACCCCAAAACACGATCTATACCAACGTAACATCATTTTGTGGAGAATCACCCATCTGCCAACTTACGTGCTCCTCCTCCCAAAGTCCCTCCAGCCTCATACCTCTCCTAAGGCAGAAACGAAGCAAAACGGAGAACACTTTTCTATTTGGACTGCCTGAACGCTGCCTGTGCAGCAGGGAAAAATTGTGAAGTATGGTGAAATGAAACACCTGTCATTGCTATCCCATTTCTTTTTGTTGCAGGAAGAAGGTGTTTCTGCAGGTATGTAAGGCCTAAAAAACCTGTGTCTTTGTGTTGAAACAAAATGATCAAAGGCAGTAATTGTTCTAACAAAGGCTACAGCATTTCATACATTCCAGCTTCAAGGCTGGGCTACAAAACAATGTATTTGATGTGGAAAAATTATACTCACCACAGATCCATATTTGTAGATACACATTATTTCTACACCTAGGTTGCGGAATAGCAAATGTCAAGTGTCTGTTTGTCTGCACGCTGGGCATGTTTAAGAAGACTGCGTTAAGAATTCAGTTTTATGGCATAACAGTTACGGCTTTATGGTTAGTGAGGTTCTTTATGGTTTACAATTCTTTTTAGAGTATGTCAAAATAATGAGAATTTGAGCATAATACGTCACCTTTATATAGTTAAATGTTTCACACTGTCTGTGCATAGTCAATTCAAACCCAAGGATAATCAGCTCTTTTACACATTGTCCAGCATCTATCACAAAACGTGTCTTTGTCCTGTGTAATCCGTATCTCTTAATGCTATTGCTTTGAGCAGCTGCTTCTCGTTTTGCAGTAATCTCCCGAATTTCAGGTGGGATCAGTGTAGATACATAAGAGACTTTCTGCCTTTTGTGTTTGTGAATTCAGACTCTGAATTCAACCTAAGGCATACACACTCATACACGGAATCCCTCATGAAAATTCAGACCTGCCACTGGTGTAACAGAACAGCACATCCAGAATGGGATGGACTTCTTTTAGGATTAACTTCATTCCTGTTGGCATCAGACTTGTTGTTTCTAGCTTTCACTACTGTAAATATTGACATGAGGGCTGAATTATTAATATAACTGTGTGTGAACCACTTTAAAACCAATAAAGGCTCACTTTGCTCAAACATACTATTTTCTTCATGTCTGTCTGGCCTAAGGATCATGATGTAGTTAAAAGTTTTGCTTTATACCAAACTAAGCTACATTTACGAAAGTTCCTGTTATTTCCTTTTATTTTACAAAAGGAACAGTATAGCCAACAGCTGGAATTCTTGACAGAGCAACATTTTCAATGGTATTTAACTCTGTAAAGATGCAGCTAGGACCTCCTGAGACTTTTAGACGTGGTCAAGTACCTAACTCCCGTTAAAATCAGTGTTATCATGCAATGGAACATAAAAGTCAATTATCTTTATCCTCTTTTTTTAGGCGCAAGGGAACTTTCAAAATCTAGCTCTATTCTGAGCTATGAATTTTATTTTTTTTTTCCTTTTTAGGTACAAAGTAAGATTCTTACTAATACCTCAAAGCACAACAAATCCCCACAGAGGGGAAGGGCATATTCAATGGGATTTAAAGCCAATACCAATGTTTCAGTTAAACTCCTTCCATACTCCTAGATATATTCTGCATAAATCAGGAGCCTTCTGATTGTGTTGGATCTCTGTGCTCTGAGTACCTTCCCATACAAGCGAGATTAGATCAATTTTGCTTTCCTTTTATGTCATTGAACCTCTATAGATTTACCGTGTGGATCTGCATCCATAAGGGTGAAAATAGGAATTTGAAAAGAATCCCACAGCTTCCTGACCAAAAGTCGTGTATTAAGATCTGGTACGCCTCTTCCCTAAGGAAATAAAATAAAAGCAGACAGGCTTAAATTAATTAAAACAAGATCTGGCTAAATATGTGTTTACATTTGTCATTTAAAAGCAAGCAAACAAACAAAATGAAGGGAAAGTTCTATGCTCCTGTCTTGGTTCTGTGAGAGGGAAGGAGGAAGGGGCTGGGGAGCAGCACGGCGGATGTTCTGGGTTGCAGGCACTGCAGGAGTATCGTGCATTCCTCTGTTCGAGTTAGTTTGTAAGGTCTGGGAGTTGATGTAGAGATGCACCCCGGTATCTGTATAAGTTGGTGTAAGAACACCACTTTTTTCTTCTCAAAAATATTGATGGCACTAATGAAACAATATAAAACAAGTTCTTGCTCTGACTGGCTATGACTGGGCAACACGCGTCACAGTATAAATGCTTCTCTCTCTCAGGGATGGGGATGTGGTTTTTTCCTCGTTGTGGGCCAGATTTGTCCCAGAACAAGTAGGCATGCATATTGCATTTACACATTCTTGTTAGTTCTCCAGGCTCCAGAGCTCTTTCAGTACAATCCAAAATCAACTAATTCTGTTCCATTTGGGTTTGCTGGGATCCTGAAGGACAAAAGGTTACTCAACAGTTAAGCCTTTCTTAAGACTGAGTGGGGCAGCTACTTTGCAGCAGCGTGATAGTTGACGAGATACCAAGCTCTAAGGAGATGTTTGGAGGAGATAAGTCTTTAGAATGTGCATTTTATATTTCTATGAGGATAACAACATAAATTTTTTAAATGTTAGACAGGTTTCATATTCATTTTATTACGGTCTTTTTGTTTGAGCACCACTACAATGCTAAAGTATTACTTAAATTCTTACATCTAGCTAGATAAAATGAAATGTGAAATACATACTGTAATCATTATGCATGGGGACAATTTATTGCAGAAGTCATCATCCAGGAGTCTCTGAAAAGTTGCATCTTTTTCTACAATTAACATAAATTTGGCATGTGAGATTAAATCTTTTCTGTTAAGGCTAGCTGCATGTAAAATGATCCATCACACCAATCAATTAAAACTAAATGCTCTAAAATACCTGTTCTGAAGCCAAAAGCAGTGTTCATGACTCAATTTCAGAGCCAACAAGCAAAGAAAAAATTACCAGAACATTGTTTAACTTGGAATATTCTTTCTTTTTACTTTATTTTTTTAGTCTACAATGAGAGTTCTTGCTCAAAGGATACTTTTAATTCCTTGAACATTAGATGGCACAGTGACTGCCTAAAACAACAAAAATGAGATTAATCATTTTAAATAGAGAAAATGATATATATTAAAATAACAACATTAGGTAATGAAGGACACAATTACATCCTGAAACAACCATTCCTCTTCCATATACAAGATCAATCTTGACATTTTCACCTCTTTATAAGCATATTCAACCATTCGTGTCCTGCTCTGTTGTACAGTTGTGTAGGAGTCCTCCTGTTATGACAAAATGCTTTCCAAAAGTGTTTGTGCTACTGCCACAGCAGACTGTTCATCATATGGGCATTACAGAGATAACAATGTCCTGATTCATTTATCTGTCTTAACCAGAAACAAAGCCAGCTTGGTGTGAAGATTGCAAATTTAATACAGGCTAAAAACATCTAAGTATTCTTTTTGGAAGACCCTTAAATCCTTATTTTTTATTAACCTACAACCTGATTTTGTAAGTACTTTGGAGCAACAATATGAAGACACAGTAATGTTTACTCTACATCTCATATTAGGATTGGCCCAATCTGGCAAGCATATGGATGAGAAAACAGGAACTAGAGGAAGAACTTGGCAAGAGTGTGTATATATTGAAGTGTGTGGTCTGTTTTTACTGCTGACCACTAAATCACCTCTGGTGCCAGCATGGAACGACTCAACAAATAAAAATACGAAGAGCTGTAGAAGAGCATTGATAACAGGGGACATTACTCTCTGCTTAAAAGCAGGTATAGTAGGCAGCTAAGGTTATCCTTCCATCTTGAAACTACTGACTTAGGTGTACAATGCACACATTTTCCGGGAATTCCTGTCAGCAAGTCTCAGTTCTGTTCCTGCTTTCATATTCTGCACGGCTATAGGAAATCTTTCAGGACTAGATTAGTTGAGTCTCATCTCCTCAAACCACTTCTGGCTCTTGACTCTTATGAAACCACTGTTATAAACTTCTCTTTAGCTCAGTGCCACCTTTGACAAAATGAGTTGACAATGGAAGCCCTTCTAATGTCTGTAACTCCTGTGTAGGTGATAATCCTGGGACTAAACAGCCTGCTAGTATATACCTTTGGTTGTACTGTGCTGGGCACATGGAGACAGTCTCAACTCTATTGCTGATGGAGTATCATCATTAAACTTTGGTAAATGAGAACATAATTTGGGTCCAGAAAGAGATTCTTTCTCTAATTATAGAGGCTCGGTTCAGTCTCTCATCTGTGCTGTTGCTACTAGAGGAGTCTGCCCAGTGTTGTAGAAGCAGCTCATTGAGGACCATACCAGTATGTTAACTCAGGCTGTTGAGATTTGTTTTCTTACTCTGCCAGAAATCAATCTATTGTGACAGAAATGAAGTATGTTCAGAGTGCCCAGGATTCTTTGATTCAGAGAACTTATTTGACAGAACATTGTAACACAAAGCCTAAGCTACACAAAATACATGCCTTCCTCTGCAAGGCTCCTGTGGTAGAAGGTAGTGCTAAAAACCATACCCAAAGGATATATTCCTTCTGGTGAGCATATAGCTGAGCTTCAGAATTGCAATACAGTTGAGCAATACTTTTTATCTCTCGTTTTGTAATGTCTCAATTTGGCACAAGCACAGGTCTGTATAGTAAATGTATACAATAACCTGAGCTACAAGAGGTTCAGGGTGTTATGCAAAGGTAGATGCTACGAATTACTGTTACTGTTTTGTAATACATACTGTTGCACTGCAGGTACAATTCACTTTTGTACCATCTTCTTCAGTGTAACTTAAATTACCAGCAACAAAACCTTTAGTTGTAGACAGCTGAAAAAAATAGTAAGTTGTAGACAGTAAACTGGAAATTACATCCTGTTATGTGACTATATTGCACAGGCAAAATGAGAAACTTCTGAAAATAATTCTGACTGGTAATAAGCAGCTATCGACTGCCATCAGCCTTTTAAACACTAAGCAATGTTGTTGTCATCATGGACATAAAGGCATCCTTATGATAAATTACGTTAACAACTGCATTTTTAGATACAAAGGAATTCTTGTAACTTGCATGAGATCCAAGTAAATTTGACAGGTTGTTACATCTCTGACGTACTTTAAATTTTCAGTTAACCCCCAAGTTAGCAAATCACTTGAGTACAAGTTGCTGAACAGATCTCTTGCAGTCTGAAGTTTCAGCACTGCTTTCACTACATAATAGCAAAAGGCCCTGTGATTTTAGCTGGCAGTTTGTCCCAAACTCTTTGGAGCAAGCAAACTCTGTGAGTTTTCTCTGAAGAAAGAAACCTTTCGAAGGCTGTGATAAACACAATTAGGTTTCATTGGCACAAATGACATTTTATATTTTAACTATGTATTTCCTACTGATAACGTTTCTTCATATTTCAGCTTTCATTTCAGTCTATATGGTTTGGGAATAATGACAAAAACATTCAAAATAAACCACTTACTATATGTAGACTTCTCCGAGGTATCTTAAGCATGCAAGAAATGTCATTGATTATATTGTCCACAACACTTTGGCTACCAAAGAGTAGTGTATCTGAATAATATATATCTCTATCAAGAGAAAATATTATATTTGTAATTATAATACTGAAACAGCTGTAGGGTCATGAGAATTACATAGTTATGGATGAATGCTATAGATATAGCATGGATAATCAGATCAACCTAAAGCATTTTATGTACAGGAATCCGTTATCCTACAGGTTTGCATCCTACAGGCTGTTTTTCACACTAACATTCTTAAAATACAAAATAACTTTATTTGAAATTACAGAAATGTAGTGTGTTACCTTTTAGTTGCATAAGTATTGCTCTGCACCATCTTATAGATCATAGATAATATCTTGAGCATCAGAGCTGAAAAGATACATTTTTAAAAATATTTTATCAATTTTCAGAAATACATATACAATAATTTGTCTTTATATCGACCCAGATTTATGTCTCATAAAATGAAACGTTGAAATATATGTTGAATGTGAAAATACAGAGAGACTGTACTAATCAATAGACTCAATAATTTCTAGCATAATTAGAAAAAATATCATGGAGTTAAGTGAGGGAATGTATGCCCTGCTGTCTCGGCCAAGAAATTAAATGACTGAGTTAGAAAAAGAAATTAGCATATTTTCTATATTCCAAGATCCCTTTACTAGTTAGCTTTTTGAATAAGGGTGATGTTTTTACATTAAGACCTTTTGAATATGTCTTCAGCTGATATTCATTCAGGGAGGGTAGAAACTGTAAGAACACTGTATTAATTTCACTGTCACTCACTATAATTTAATAGAGAACAGAAAAGCTAAAGGGCTGGTCATAATATCAAGTTATATTAACCATACAGTTCTAAATCCCAGTGCATAGTAATTTTTTATGGTTTGGAGTTTTTTTGTGGGTTGTTTTTTTTTTGGTTCGTTTGTTTTGTTTTGGGTTTGGTGGGGTTTTGGGGTTTTTTTTTGTTTGGTTTGGGTTTTTTACAAAGTTTTGAACTAAAATACAAGAATAAACAAGAATTCTGCTTTTGAACTTTTTTAACTTACCAAATTTGGGTGCTGATCTAGGGCAGTCACTTCTTATTTGTTTTGTAGTACAACGTGGTATCATCTGTAGACCTACAGAATCTTTAAATCTGATACATTGGAAACAAACAAAGTAAAACTGTAAACTTATTGAGTATATGTAAATTGCTCTCTGCAAGGTAATTCAGGCTCAGACCACTTTCCTGTAACCAAATATGCCAGTGCTATTTTCAGATTCAGTACAGAAACCGTCAACTTGGGTGGAGTTGTAGCGGCCAAAGGAAACAGGCAGGCAGGAGTCATTGTCTGCCAAAATGACCCATTCAAAACACTACTGAACTGCCCCCTGGCCGATCAGTGGCTTCAACACATGAAAGAGCTTCTGCAGAAGATGCTTCAAGACTGAATTTAAGCCTAAAATACATAAGTTTCCGGTCAAAAGTAGAGACAAGAAAAATATTTTACATGTTTGTAACTGTTAATATATCAGCCTCAATTATTATTTAACATGGAAACAAAGGAATACATTACAAAAAAATGTGAATCCTTATTGGAATACAAATAAAGCCTGATACAGTGACTTTCTGATACAGAATGTATGAAAAAGTGTTATTTAATATTACAATAATATTATCTAATTTATACCTTTAAATTATTATCAGAATAACTCAATTATATTCCATGACTAACTTTTGGAAACGAAAAAGTGGCCCACCCTATTCTCTAAATAGTTGTTTAATCTAAATGAGCTCCACCATTTCGTGTTTCACCATTTCATGTCTGAAGGTGCACATTTCAACAAAAGAATCAGTTTGTTTCTTAAGGATTCATTATTTTACTTGAAATTATTTTAGTGCCTTATGATGTGACAGTCCTGTCTTTAAAGCATTCTTTTTCATCTCAGAGGTTTGTATGTACTTTTTTAAAGTATTGGTGCTAAAATGGCTATACTTTCATCTAAAACTGCATAACGTTTCTAAATTTCTTTGTCGAAGGTTTTGCTCCTTGCGTCCTTTGGGTGGCAGAACACACCGCGCTGCACGTCCCTAAAGTGACAGCAACAACAAGCAGCACCGTGCAGCATCTGCCTGACAGCTTCACAGTAACTTTCTTGCTTTTGTGCTGCAACATTTAAAAGTTATTTGTGCTTTTCACTCGCACACTCCCTACATTGTAACTGCACGGGGGGAAAGCAGTGATCGACACTTGGCGGGACTGCTGTGTCAGCTTGAACAAGGAACACTCCTTGCCTCTCAGAAAAGACTGTGCTGAAGAACCCGATCAATGTGGCTCCCACCAGTATTTCGTAAAGGTAACTGCAAGCTGGCACTAGATCGGACTAAATCTTTCAACTAACGGGAAATCCTTTTTTTGTTGTTGTTTTTGGTTTTGTTTGTCTGGAAAGATACAGCTGGACAATGGAAACCGATTGTACTACTTTAGGCCTGGCATTCTCACAGATTGACATCATTCTCAGGTAAATACCTCTCTGGGTATATACAGATGTTTACAAAGAACATTTCAAACTTTAAATCATTCTCTCATTCTACTAGTTCCTGCCCAGCACAGATTCCATCTTTGTAGATTAGGTATGAAAAGGCTGTCTAAAACAGAAAAAAAAATGCCCTACTGACTACGTTTTCTTCCATTCATATTATAGTTTGGCGTTCTGTTTTTATTTTATTTGGCTATTTATTTTTATTTTAATCTTCATAAACCGCTGATTTAAAGTGGGATACAGGTCACTAGTCAATGGAAATGCATATCTGAGATTACATTTCTCCACCGTAAATAATGGTTCAGCTTTTTTTTAATGTGATTGATGAGTCTTATTTTTAACATACTGTGATGTTAACTTGTTTTAATTTGAACGTTTTTCCCCCTATGTGTTCTCATGGCAAATATCATCTCACATTTGTTTTTCTAGCCTGGAACGCCATTTCCCTGAAGATTGCCAAAAATTGCAAACCTTTGTTACAGTATTTTAATTTTACAGGCATCTGAGTCAAACATTTTTGTTAAACTATCAAGACACAAACCATTAAATTCCCTGGAACATACAAGCCTTTCAGTTAACCGATTACCTTCAGGCCTCTCAGGTTTTTTGATTGACAGAAATTTGTTATTCTCATTAAATGCGTATTCCACCAAAGTGTAACGTGTGGAAGGGTTGCTATGCTTTCTCAACCTCAAATGTTTGTAATGTGTCCACCTACAAGCACCTCTGCAACCTTATCAGTCTAAATGTCCTTTAACCCACTGACATCCAAAGCTACCAAAAGGCAAAAATCAATTTGTGTCTTCTTTATCCCTCTGCTTCTGTATTATAGAAAGCAACTAATCTCTCAGTTTCAGGTATTTTCAGTTTAAACGAGCTCCTTGGAAAAATACTGTCACAGAAGCAACTTCTACAAATCACAAAGTGTGTTATAAAGAAGGACAGGTTGCTTTTTCTCTGATCCTGTCTAGATAAGCTGACATAAGAGCTGAAATTTAGATATTAGAAATATGGCTTGCTTTATTTGGCTGGCATTGAGCTTAGAACACAACACAGAGGCAAGAAATACAACAGGAAGAGGTGAGATACATCTTTGCTGAAGAACAAAAAGAGAAGTTTATCACTATCATTTTAAGAAATAAGATACCATGAGGAAAAGCAGAGAAAAAGAAAAGAGGAAGCAGAGAAAAGGCACTGGAGGATGAAATCACTAGTGAGTGTTTCCAGCCTGAAACAGATTTTTTCACTCTAACACAACTTACCAATTCTGGTTTCTACTGCTTCCAGAAAATGATTGTTTATAGGACCTCCCTTTCATTTTTCATTCCCCTTTATGCTATAGTCTGCTGTTCCGTAATACATGGTGCCTGTTCACGCAGAGTGGTTACTAAGCATTACTTTTTATTTGTCCATATTTATTGATTCTAATACTTCTAGAACTATGTATGATTAACTTTTCTGGAAGTTACATAATCAGATTTATATTCATGGCACTTATATTAATATAAGGCAGGACTTTAAAATATATAATACTTACTCTATGTTCCTCCAGTCCGATCTGTTAGCCAGCGTAAGAACAGGTGCTTTTTTTTGGGCCAAGCTGTTAAGCACATCTAGAATAACATTTTCTATTGCTTCAAGAACTTCAGAACTGAAACAAAGAAAATTAATTATACAAATCATCTGATAAAATCTAGTTCTACTTTGAGTTTTGACCATCTATCACCACTCTGACAAAAATAATGTAATCTAAAACTGCTTCAAGGATAGATTTCAAAAATGGGGAGGAATTCCTTTGTTTTTTGATTTTGTTTTGCTCAGTTTCCCTAAAGTCTTTGACTTTTCATTCTAGATGCATGACTGAGGACACAATTAAAAGTACATTTCTATTCAGTCCTGAAACCATCAAATTTTTCACCAGCTGAACTTTTAGACCAACTGGCTGGTTTGTGACTAATGATTAATGTTTTACTATAAATGATGTAATATTGGCTTTGGCTATGATTTGGGCTAAGTTGTTTTTAAATGCTGTAAATTTAAAAAATGTTCAAGAGTACAAATACTTCCTGTTGTACTATTGCACATTAACCTTTTGATCTGCTGCCCTGAACAAACTGTGAAGGGTTTTAATTGTATGAAGGCTTAGTCTCAACAGATGCACTGTGAAAAGAATAAAATCTGTATCTTTCACCTAAAAAGACAAAGTAACCTTGCAGCAGATCCCTTACAGCAAAACTGTAGGCTGGTTTGAGTGTTATGACAGATGCTTTTTATTTTCTTAAGCAATCTGACTCCAACACTTCAGCTGTCCTTAAAATTACAAGTGTACTACATACCATCATAAGTTTAGGTAGGAATTAAAAGAATAGACAAAATTAATTTTGGCTCAAAGTTTTATCAGCAAAGTCCAATTTTGTCATTAAGTAATATCCTAAGAAAAGATGAGTCAGTACCAGTGCACATCACACAAAATGAGTTATGTTACAAAATCAGCACGAATGATTTTAAAACCTAGCTACGAGCCTCCTTAAATAGTAATGAAGTGTCATTAAAGCTCTGCTCTATCAGCTGGATGTTTCTTCCATTTTGTAGCTCAGCTTCCATTTACCCCTCATTCTGCTGAAAATAGATTATAATTTTTTGAAAGCAATTTCTGGAAAGTATTAACCTTTTATTTTGAAATGTTATTCGTAATAGTATCTGTATTAAAAAAACCCAAAAAAACCCTACTAGTATTGCTAACATTTTTGTCCAATAATATTAAACCATTCAACAAACACAATGATTTTTTCTGTTTTTCAGATGAATAAACTTGGACACAGAAGGACTAATGGCTTTCCAAAGGTGAAACAATGAAGCATTTTGCACTGCTGATAATACAAGAAGGCCCAGTCATGCAGCCAACATCTAAATTCATTTTCTACCGTGTAATAGCTTCATAATCAACTCCAAGATTCCCTAATTTTCAGACTCATAGTCTCTTCCTTCAAATTAAAATGCTACATCTCACTGCCATATCCAAACTAAAAATTCTATTAAGCACAGAGGAAATGCTTGGCTGGTGAGCTAAATGTATAATGCAGCAAAAGAGTAAAATAGGTAAGCAAAGCTGACGACAGTGCAAACCTCCAACATAACAAAGACTAGAGGGTTGAAGATGATAAAAATATGTATGGGCAGATGGATGAAAGAGCAGATAGGTAGATAGGAAATCTAAACCGTGTCATTGCTTTGATACTCATAAATGTTTTAGTTATATATTTGGTTCTGTCCACTGTAACTGTCTTAATATTCTAGATATATTTCAAAGTTTGCTGCAGAATTTGAAAGTCCAGGTTTCTGTTCCAATCCCAGTTTCCCGATTTGTTGGCCAACAGAAGATGTAAATGTGGTAAAATAGGAGGAAGAGGACAGCAATTCTCTGTGTCCCCCCTGCTGATATTCTGTCTCTTATTGCAGAGATTAACTGAACCTTAATAAGCAAACATAAAATACTGGCCAAGTATGCCTACTTAAAATTCACTCTGGTTTTGTTAACAGCGAAATCTGAGCAGAGAAGGGGTAAGCACTGTGAATCTCACAGGGTTTGCCTCATCATTTCTAACAGGTTGCAGCATAGTAGATACTTGTTTCTGTGCAGCACAAGAAATTATCTTCAATATTAATAGTGTAAAAGATTAATATTATAGCACCTTTACCAAGCTAACAATATAAATACACAAGAGAAACAGTTACAAATAAAAATCTGCACTGTAATAAAGCAACACACTCCAAAACCCAGAACAGTACATCGCTAAAGCCATGTGGTTCCCACACCCTGCCACAAAGACCTCCTTTTCCTTTTAAAATACTTTTAAGATGCTCCTGGTCTGTTCTAGCTTCTGAGGCTGACATACTGTGTATGGAAAGAATCTTTAAAAAAATGCCGGGAGTTTTTTGTTAGTGAAATTCAGTATGTTTGTTTTGTCACGGTTCTCTGTGTTTCTGTCTGTACCTACAGACTTTTTGAAGAGGTCTGAGGGAACGGAGACGCTGTTTGCAGTGTGAGAGCCCCTCCTGCCCCGGGTTTTTGTGGGGGAGTATGTTTTCACTTCTGCACAAGCCCGTTAGGTGCAATGGCGCGCTGCCTACTTAAGTATTGCCACAGAAAGAGCGTATGGGTGCTATTTTGCACATCTTTTTACCTAGGGACGTGGCTTTCATGACCAGACAGACTTGTTTCCCTGAAGCTGGCCCTGTCCCCAGCTGGCACTTCAGTGGAACGCACACTGTGGTCCTCCATGAAGGCTGGTGCAGAGCAATCCAACTCCTCTGGAGGGGATGAAGCCACGTTAAAAAGAGGCAAAAGAGATTATCAAAGAAATTAGAAAAGGCTATTCTGCCTGCTGGACTTAAAGCTCATGATATGAGGTCAAACCATAAGGCCACGGAGAAAAAGCAGAACATTTCTGTAGAAACCAAATTCGAGATGCTCCGGCCCTCCCTGACTGCCCGAGCGAGGGCTTTGCCCTCCCTCCCTTTCTAACCGAGGGGAGCTGGCCCTGCCCTTCCTGACTGACAAGGGCTTTTCCCGCCCTTCCTGACCAACCAATGGCTTTTCCCGTTCCTGCTAACAGACAGGAGGTGGCCCCGCCCACCCTGCCAGGGTCCTCTTCCCACCCTTCCCGCCCCAGCGCGGCCTCTGCGGGGAACTGAACCTCAGATCTGGCCCTGGAGCTGCCGTGTGCCAGCGGGCACTTGATCTCTGGCTCTGTAGCACCTGGATCTCAGGGGTGGTGGAATAAATCTGGCCAGGCTGGCTAAAAAGCGGCCGAATGGCTCGTCAATAGTTTTCCCATCCTTTCTGAATGACCAGCAATTTTTTTCCCTCAAAATCAAATGTCTTTTCCTATCTGCTCTTAGTGGCTGGAAGAAAGCTGAAAAAGCTTAAAGCTCCAGTGCAACTCCAGGTGTCAAAAAATCAGCTTCCTTTCCCAAAACAGGATTTAAATTCTATTGAGACTAAAGATTTAACACTACGCCCTCAGCATTCTGAAGTTTTAGAACAGACTCGAGATATGTTTTCAAACCTTTCTCAAAACATTGTTAAAAACTTGTATTCTGAACAAAAAATAAACACCCAATTCTAAGAATCATGAATCACCAGCTTCCAAGGAAGCTGAGATTTAAGAAAAAATGTTAAAATATGTGAGTTTATGGCTGCAGCAGGACGTTTACGATTCACATGGCGTCCTCAGCCACACTTCAAAATGGAGGACACACGGCCAGAGGCAGACTGCAAATCTGAAAAGAAACCCCACAGGTGATTATCATCTTGGTGCATTTCGCACCTGTGGTCTCTAGGCGTTCATCTTTTCCTACAGAAACTCCAGTCTTCTCTTTCACTTCAGAAAGTTTAAACTCACCGTGATTTTAAAGAGAAAATGCAGCACTTGTGGGAGACCTTGTGAAGGCCAGAAGAGTGCACCAGTGCACGGCCAGTGCCTGTTCGTTGCCAGAACAGCCCCCCTGCAGCTCCAGGTGCTCCCAGGGCAGAACCCCAGGCTCGGTTTCTTCAGTGGGTTCTGAGTGCAGAGATCAGGACTCCTTCACGGGCAGCTCAACGGTGAAAAAAAAAAAAAAAAAAAAAAAAAGTCCTAGAAATTTAAACCACTCCTACCTTCGCAGTTACGGTATGCTGAAGTGTATTTTCAACTCCTGTCATCGTAATTGACTGCCTGAAAGTGATCATTCTGAGAGTGTAAGCAGTTGCTTAGGAGATAAATATCTTAAGCCTTGTCCTTTCTAGAGAAAATTTCTTAAAGCCCGCTGTTGATAACATCATCTTTTATGCACAGCAGCCAGTAATATTGTAAGTTGTGCTCTATCTAGCTCACTGCCAACAGCGTTTCAGATGTTGTGGTGCTTAGACTTGTTAGCAAGTTAAATGACATAGTGTTTAAAACGTTGGAGGCAGCTGGTTTCTCCTGCTGTTCCATTAGCTACTACCGCTGAACCTTTCTTCTTTGGTACTCATAAGAGTAAGCCATCCAAATCCAGCTTGCGTAGGTAATTAAAAAATTCGTGCATTCATTTATTCAAGGAAAACCTCAGGCTATGATGATATGAACACAAGGTGCTTCAATTAACAGAGACAAGCAAAAGAAAGGGGAATTAATAAATTGAAATTTTCAGATCTTTCATCTTGAGTCTTTGGCCTTTAGGTACCTTGAGATCACTCCGGAAATATTTATGCAAAATCTCTGTAGCTCTTTCCAACAATTCAACATCAAAATCAACAGATTTTTGTTTGATACAGAACTGAGAAAATTATATCATGCCCCTAGCAACAGATTGCAAACAAAACTACATACATCAACTTGTGAGAAGCTAATTTAATGACCTGTCTCTTCTTCATAGTAGCAAACAGCAACTATAAAAAAAGACAACCAAAATACTATAAACAATACTATACAATAAACAAGAGATTGAAAACCAAGCAACAATAACAAAAATTTCCATGCTTCAAACTTAATATTGCACACATACATATAAATATATATACGAATATATAACCACATAAAATAGTACCCAGAATATGTCCAGTAAATGAACTACAATCAATAAATTAACTAGCAGGTTCATTTCCTAAAGCCCTGTTTCTTTTTTTAT